CAGTTTTGTGTTTTTGTGGATTTTTGCGCACCAATCTTCGCACGACGACGAACATCTTTTTGGGAATCGGGGATTTTTGTTTTCTTGTTCTTCGGCTGTGCATATGATGTTGCCCCCAATGATTTCCCAACACGATGCTCCTTAAAACTCCAGGCCTGGTCTAAGGTGGAGAGGGGGAGGAGAATAGGAGAGGCAAGCAAAGGCTCTAGCCTATGAACCACTGAATCTCTCCTATTTATAGAGGTCTCATATCAAACCCTAATGGATCCTCCCCTAGTGGGTGTTGGATCTGCATCTAATTACCCAAGCCTTTTAGATTAGTGGATCTCTATCCAATAATCTCTTATGGGCTCTTATTGGATCTCGTCCATGGGATCCAATAATTTATTGGCTTATTGGATATCCAATAAGATAGGGGCTCCGACGGATATCTCATATCCGAACCTCTACTCATCACAATGTCCACCATATGTGTGTGACCCTCTAGGCCCAATATCAAGCTGGTCGTGAGTCATACCTATCAGAACTCCTTCTAACTTAGTGAATTATTATCTCTATAATAATTCACTCGACTCATCGACTACGGACGTACTAGGCCACTACGTCGTAGTCCCCAGACGATACAAGGGAATTCAATCCATTGGACCTGTCTATCCTCAATTACCATATACCTATAGTCCCTCATCCATCTAATATCCTAGAGACCATATATCGGGCATAGTGCTGTCAAACCTATACGGTTTCTTCTCGAGTCTTACTCTAATCGGATTCTTCCGGAGGACTCTTTCTCTCTCAATCCGAATGACACTGGTTAGGGATTTGTCTGAGTAAGAACAAATAGGATATTCCTCTCATGATGCCGAGAGTGGATGATCCTCTATTGACACTCAATAGCCCTCGTAAGGTCGACTAGCACTCTCAATGACCAGTTATACTAAATCTGGGACATTCAAACCTATAAGTCTGGTATCAAAGAGTGGAGCACTCATATAGGACATCCTTGGCATCTCAAGTCTAAGGACCAGATACACCACTAGGACTACAAAATAGCTGTCTGACAATAAGGCATCATCAACCATCCAATATTCCGTAAGCGGATCAATCAGTGAACTAATTCTCCAATGAGCACTTGTACTGTATCCCTAGTGTCCCCACACGAGCAGCTATAAGACTAGTTGCATCCATCATATGGACGAGTATACAGCACACCAATCTGTTCGGTTATCGTGATGTCCCTCTCGAGTAACCTATGACCAGGATTATTTAGGATCTATGTTTAAAGGTGAATCGATCTCATTATCGTGATCTCATCATGATCTGATTCCCATTGCACAGATCTAAGGACATCACAATATATACATGCATATATGTAATAGTTAATATAAAATGATAAATACTAAAATATAATAAGTAAAAAGATTCTATGTCAAGTCACACGTGCCATCACTCACGTGATTGGCTTATTGGGCACTTATGACTAGCACTACGTCTATTCCTAATTCCTCCTTCGTTGAGACCACCGGCGTCCACTATCGATCTTTATTCAATGGGCGAAGACCAACTACCCTCTTATAACTCTTTCTCCTTTTTACATGTTTAATATACAATCTTTTACAAGCCTTATACCTCTCTTAAATTGATTACAAAGCTAAAGAAGGAGGAGGATACTTAGCACTTTTTCAATACTTTTACAACTAAAATCTCAAGATTTTTATTCACACTTTTCGTTCCTTTCATGTAGGAAAGAGTGGGGTATTTATAGGCCCCAATGGCTTCAAAAATGGATCCAAAAAATATCTCATCCCAGGTTTTTACTGTACTGGCAGCACCATCGCCATTATTGGGTAGTACCACCGCTTGCAAACTGACACTGAGTGGTACCACTACCCAGCCTGACGGTACTACTACCTGACAGAGCCTCGGAGACTGGGCTCTAGCGGTATCATCGCCTGACAACATTAATTGTCGATGGTACCACCACCCAAACCACTTGGGAGGCCAAGCCTCAAGCAGTTCCATCACCCAATTTGAGTAGTGCCACCACCTGACATAGCTCCAAGTAGCTGAATAGGCCATCCAACCGACCTAATTTAGCCCTATTTAGAGCTTAGTTGGCCCCTAATTGAGTTAGTAGGATTTCTTATAAAATTAAATCAAATTAAAGTCCTAACTACGATAATTAAGGATAAAACAATTACAATACAAGGAATCTAAATTGTTCGGCACGTCAATTGTTTAACCGAACTCTCGGTGAACTCCGGCGAGCTTTCGGTGAGCTTTCAATGAATTCCCGGTGAACTTCTGTCGAGCTTTCACTATATCGTATGATCCTTCGGTGTATCCCCCGATTCATCCTACCCGATGCCCAATCATTGACTTCGGCCCAACATTCGATTCTTCTTTAATCATTTTGTCTTTCTCACTATCGTAATTAGTCCTGCATTACTTATCTCAAGACATGGATTAGATTATTAATTTATCAATTGATTTCATTATCAAAATACGAGATTCAATAGTATGTATAAGACTAGGAGTAGGGTATTACATATCTTATTTAGTCCTACATATAGGACACGTAGGGTATAGATGGAATTAGGAGTTGGGTATTATAATAATATCCTCACTAAAATCCGGTGTGGTACAAGAGACCCTTGTCCCAAACACGAAAAGTTGTGCTTATTAACTCTATTATTAATTCCGTGATGACTCATATTTTACTTAACTCTTAGATTTTTGATAAGCTTCTCTCATAAATCTCTAAATTAACGTGTGTTTTCTTCTACAATAACTCTCAATACAATAAAAAGATGCATTTTTAAGTTGAAATAATAAGACTCTTTGTAAGGATAGAGGTTGACTAGTTAATAGAAATCTCCTCTTAGTTAAGAAAATCATTTATGTCAAATATATTTTTCCTATTCTAAACCAAGATAAGATTCTTTGGATTAATATTTTTCTCTCTAAATATGAAAGTCTTCACCTTTGGATTCTTTAATCTTTCGATGGATCTTTCAACTTATGTAAAGTCCTCACTAAAATTCATCTCCAACCTAAAAGATGACTTGAGAAGGCTGATTGGTAATGGATCTTTCATCAACATTTGCAAAAAACCTTTGGCTTGACAACATCCTCTTTAATAAATAATATACCTTCACTGGGGTTAATGATATGAAGCATTATCTTTGTCTTTGATATGACCTTTAATAGTTAATAAAATTTCTTTGTGGATTCTTATTTTTAGCCTTTTTTTTTTTGACGGAATGAGAAAGAAACTTTCATCTCCCTATAATCCTTTGGATTTGGACATTGATCCATTTGGATTTCCTTATCGAAATCAGTGCATATCAGCATATTACTCATTCCTATTTATTGGATGAGCCTCGGATGAGATGGAGGGCTATTTGGTAACTTAAGATTGCACCCAAAATTAAAGTTCTTTTTGGAAACTCTTTTAGAATAGACTGTGTACTTGTAGTTATATTCTAACATCATCATCTGTCTTAAGTATACTCTTAGCCACATATATCATCTATCTTCGGTTCTCCTATGCGTGTTTTCCATGAGCGTCTTTTTATTCATTCATTCATTTTGGAATTCTATTCAAGAAAATTTGAAGTTTTCCTTCTAATTTTCTCAACATGGTACAACGAAGATCGGTTCTTTGAAGGTTCCACCAAGAAAGCTTACAAGGAAGATTGGCTCTTTGAAGGTTCCCACCTAGATAGCTCTTCCCCATCGTACTTGTTCAATACTATGGCTATCTCCTTCTGGTTTCTTTGGATCAATCAAACCAAGCCGACCATACTTGCTTTGAGGCTTCCTTAACCATTAATAATTTCATTAATGTGTCCCGAGTCTAAGGAGATGGCGGGGAATTCCTGAGGACAGGAAGGCAAGCGCCCCTTGTATTCTTCCCATAGGTGACTTATTTATTTCTTCCACCTAACCTGTAGGCTTCGATTTTCTATTTAAAGCTGCAGCCCCTTATACAGCCCAATGATTGAGAAAAAATGAACTTATGTGGATTCAAATCATGGATACAAATGGGGGATAGGAGCACAGAATATCTCCAAATACTTGAACTACACAGTGCGACTAGGAAACATCATTATCTCCGTCTGGGAAGATTTGTGGTGGTGGCAAGTCACATTCAAATAGTCATCACCACCAAGCAAGATGCATGACAGTTCATGTCCCATCTAATTGTAGATGAGCATCGGAGAGCATTTCTTTTTCACCAAGGTCTCGTAACAAAATCTCACTTGGGAATTTAGCACTTGTTGTGATTGCTCTCTCCCTCGCAGGGATCAATTGTTTATAACAAACACTACAAATATGGGCTTTTCACAAACCAGCAGTTTTAAATTGCAAAAATACGTGCACAAGAAAGTTATTTTCCTACCCTATAATGAACTGTAAAGAAAGAAATAGTTATCTACATATTCATTCTGTTGGCAATTTTTGATATAACAAGAAAGAAATAGGAAGATTTCTAGGTTTAAGCAAGTAATGATTTTCTAAGGATGGTACCACTAAATTGTAACAATTATATTTGTGCTTCTTGTGCTAAAATGTAATAACTAACCAACAAGTAAGAAATGAAGCTAAAAGAAATTTTTCTCTATTAAATTAGTTTTATTATGTTAAATGAAACATGCATGACACTATGAGCTGTTAAAAGGCAAAAATATTTTGATTGACTACTTAATCATCACAGTAGCGAACTGCCAGGCAATAAATAGCATAATAATCCGAAAAAAAAAATTCAGTTTTGACATGAGTACCTGATTAATCAAGATCACAAACATCTTGTGATCTCCAATCTTAAAGCGGAAAAGTCATGACTGAGAAACCCAGTCATGTATACATACAAAAAAACGAAACAAGAGATTCTAATATTATATAATAAGGTTTTCCATATATATAAATTTTTGGCGGACGAAAGAGATATTATCCCACTTATTACTATTAATTAAGAGTAGAAAAAGAGAGGAAAATATATGGTTAGGGGCGGGCATAGTAATGGGGATGGCAGTTAACGGCGGCGACGGGGAGGAAGGGGGCGGCGAAGTAGGACTCCATCATGATCCGGGATTGGACGGCCTGCATCGAGGCGGCGCCCTCTATCACGTCGCGCACAAGCGCCGCGTGGCATGCCCGCAACCGCTTCAGCGCCGCCCGGTACTTGGCGGCCAGCCACCGAAGCCGCATCCGGCGGAGGAGCCCCGCCAGGAGGCGCCGCCCGCGCCCGCGCCCGCGCCAACCCCGGCGCGAGCCGAGCCGCATCACCGCCATCTTCCTCCGCCGCGAGCGGAAGAACGCGGGGCGACGGTTGAGGAGAGGGTGGACGCTTTCTTCGGCCGCTCGCATTATGGTGGTCGGTCGTGGTGGCGTTCAGGCAATCGGAGGACTGCAACTTGCTTGAGAGAGAGAGAGAGAGGAGAACGGAAACGAGATTTAAAGCAGAAGGGCTGCGTTCTGCTGACTCGCGGGTGATATTTAAGTCAAAACCTCTGGCAATCATATAAGCGGCAAAATTACAGTTTGAAACTTTTCTGTTTTTTGAATTTAAATCTAATATATATATTTATATATTTATTTATTTATAAAATATAAGGAGTATGAATGAGATATCAATACCCAACAAAACCTCTCATGATGTGAAAATATCAAGGATATTTTAGCTTTTTGTGTTCATATATATGCGTATATACATATACATATTTAAATTAATCACAGCAGTTTACTTAGTTTCTTGGATGGAGAGAGATACAAACAATATTTTTTAACTTAAAAATATATGTATACACTATATTGAAATTTGTATATGGGAGAACAACTATTTGTATTTCTTCTATTTTTATTTTTATCATGCTTTCCAAAGTTGTTGCCAAATTTAACAGCAAAGGACAACAATAAGGGATACAAATTACGATCAGAATGAAGTATTATAATTTTTTAGGTTACCAAACAACGTTTGTTTGGGAGAATTAATGGGCTACGGAACGAGCTTAAGTTGTGGCGCGGGTGAAAGGAAGGAGGGAAGGAGACAGAAGAGAGTTGACAAATGGGAAGTACCGTACTGAGTGGGACCCACGGTCTCTCTGGCTCATGGCCCACGTGATGAGGTCCAGGATTCCCTCGTTGCCAACTCCGATAGATATCCTTTTTTTTTTTCTTCTGTAATTAAATTAATAATTTGATACAAAAATAAAACCAATCGAGTTTATGGTGTACGAATATGAAACCAACAAACTACTTCCCTTGCATATCCATCCTAAACCCATTTCAAAGTGTATTGAAAACTAATTTAGACGTATTAAATATGTTAAAATCGTGAATGACATTAAGAGGGGATTGAATTAGTAATATCATAAATTAAGTTGATTCGTAACTTTTAACTTAGATAAAAATACATCAGAAAAGATATTAAAAATATAATTGACTTAGAATAATAGTGATAAGCAATTAAGCAGTAATGAAGAGTAACCAAAAAAAAAAGTATATACTAATTTTAAAATGGTTCGATCGTTATGACATACGTCTACTCCCGATTCCTCTTCCATTGAGATCACTAGCGTCTACTAATGATCTTCCTTCAATGGACGAAGATTAACTATCCTCTTATAATCATTTTTTCCTTTTCACAAGTTTATAAGATAGCCTTTACAACCCACCACCCCTCTCTTAAACTAAAATCAATACTTAGAGCTAAAGGAGGAGAATTCTCATAAGATTATAACAGCATTTTCATCAATTTTTGTTCTTAGTTTATATGTTCATTAAGGATGAGTAAGGTAATTATAGGCCTTAAATGACTTCAAAAAGTGAAGTCAAAATTTAAATCCTTGAGATTCTGGGGTACTAGAGGTACCATCACTAGTACTAGGTAGTACCATCGCTAATACTCTCTCACATTGCACGATACCACTACCTAGTCTGATTGTACCACCACTTGACACAGTCTCAGAAACTGTCTTAGAGACTAAGCTGTTGGTGGTTCCACTACTCGGACCGGTAGTGCCATCACATAACCTAACTTTTGGGTTACTGAATAAATCTTCCACTTGACCCAAAACAACCCTAATTCAGATCAGTTGGCTCCTAATTGAGTTAACACAATTACATTCTAAATCATCCTAATTAGAACTAAAACTATTTCGATTTAGATAATTATTACAAAACATTAATCACATGTTGTCTAATTATGTCATTGGTTCATCTAGCGCTTCATCCGAACCCTTGGCGCATCATCCTCTCCTTCGGCGTATTACCCAAACAATATGTTGTCTTCCTTTAATATCTGATCTCCTTAGCGCAATGTCTGATCTTGTTGGCTCGATGCTTGAATTCATGGCACGAAGTCTTTTATCAACACATCGATCGATTCTTCAGCTCGACGTATAATCTTCTGACATGTTCCACTTCGAACCAACATTGATTCTTCATGCTTTAATCAAATTATCTTTCCATGATCGAAGCTAATAATGCGTTACTCAAAATATATATTAGATCATAAATTTATCTATATATTAGATCATAAATTTATCTATATATTAGATCATAAATTTATCAATTAATTTTATCATTAAAATTTATCAATGTATATGATGGTAACACAAAGAAGGTGATGTATCAATAAGACAGGCGAGGCTGCAACAAAGTATAATTAAAAGGTTGTTTGTTTTTTTCTTAGATTATATGTTTTGTTTACTGAGAAAGTAATAAACCTGCCAATTTAACTGTTCAATTATTTGTGAAGGTAATCTATGCGCAGATTGATTGACTAACTTGTGCTCTATATAAAATTATTTTTCTTATGAACGGATCAATGCTCTGATCCTTTTCTTGCATTTTCACGTATTGATTCCAGGTTTTAATCACCTTATTTCTATATAAAAATAATTTCATTTAAAAAACTGCTAAATGTTTTGGATTTTATTTTTGCTTATTACAATCATTCTTCTTGTTTTAGATTTGTAACTGAGCTCCGTCTCAAACCGGTCATTATCATTTGCTTCTCTATCACACTAATCAAAATGACATACTCTGCAGTTGCACCATGGACTTTCCACATTGCATGTTTCATGCAATCTTTTCTAACCAGTCACTTGTAATTTTCTCTCACTCAACATATTCTTATTCATCAATGACAAGGACTTCACATAATCATCACGAACATATACATCCAAATGCAATAAAATGAACGGTGAGCACATAAAGACACCCACCAATGCAAAGTCTAAATACGGGAAATCAAATGACAGCAGACTGAAATTTTTTTATACTAGTCATTCTTGGTTGTTGATTGCACACATCTTATTTATTCTTTATTTATATGATTAAGTGCTAAATATATCGGAAGATTGTTGCAAGCATAATTCACACGCTTCACATGCACATAACCTGACAAGCAACATCCTTTTTTTTTTTATTGTCTGAATTAGGTTAGATGAAGTTCGTAGCATCTTCAAAAAAGATTCTCCACATGAATTAAAAAATAAGATTTCTATGACCCCAGAATAGAGTTTCAAACCAATCCATTACTTTTGTGGTTCAGATAAGCCATGATATTTGCTCACAATATTCTATTCCATTAATTGCTGCAATGTCTATTTTCTCAGCTGGATCAGAATCAATGTCTATTATAATAATAATAATAATAATAATAATAATAGTTGATGAGTGGTGAGCAATTTAGTATTAATCAGATAAAACAACTAAAACTATTAAGTCTATTTAAAAATTTATGATTTTGTCACCGATGCCATAGAAGGATTAATCATGCATCCAATTTGAACTACTAATTATACTAATTATATTAGGTATTGGTAGTATTAATTTATTTCAAATTAGTCTCAGTCCAAGTGATGATTATATAAGGCATCGACTAAGTCCGAGGGGAGGGGGGGGTGAGTGAGGGGCTTCGGCGATTAAGTTAGTTTACAAGTTCATAATAATTGGACTAGTTCAAACAATCGGACTAGTCAGGTGGTGTTGTATGCTAAAAAAATATGTTGAAGTATATACTTATAGGTCCCTTTTATAAGTGACCTAGGGATAGTTATATTTGGGATTGTCAACGGTAAAAGAAGAACATATGGAGTTTCGA